CAAATGCATTGTGTGTCAAATAATTTTGTTTTCATAACAGATGCTCTACTGTTTTGATTGACCCAGTAAACATTTTTGCTTCATTTTAGTTCATTTGATTTACTCCAATAGTTTTCCAGATATAATGATACAATTCAGGAATACGGGTATTAGCCCAATGTAAACAAATAACTTTTGTCTGGATATTTAACTCAACAAATTTGAGTGCATATGTGTACAAATATATCAAAATTATCTGATTTCTCTGTCCTAAACAGCTCTTCTATGAATGTGACCATTTCTGACTTTTTTTTTTCATTTGTCAGTTTGTTTTTTTTAATGGTACATCAAATATGTATTGCACTAAATACACAGCTAGTTCAGTTCCATTAATTTAGGATATTTAAACTAATATTGAGTTCATTTTATCGCAAAAGTTTAGCATAAAACTATAATAATTTAAAAATAAATTTTACAACGTGCCCTCATTTTATTGACTTGCAGAAAAAGAAAAAAATAAGATGGCCTCTCCTCAGCCTGGCAGCCCACCTCTTGCAGAGCAGTACCCCCCACCTGAGCAAGAAGAGACCCAACAAGAAGAGGAGGCCGTAACGGATCAGTCTGCTAAAAAACGTGGCAGGGGCAGGCCTCCAAAAGCCAAAATCCTCGTCAAATGCTCCACGTGCRCAAAGGCCTTTAGGAGTCTGTCGGCTCTGCAGAGCCACACGCTGTCGGCGCACGCAAAGCAGCAACATGCGTGTTCGGAGTGTGCGAAAACATTTTCCAGCAAAGCTCAGCTCTCGAAACACGAGCGCACCCACTCGTCCCAGCGCCCCTTTCAGTGTTCGGATTGCCACAAAGCCTACAAGACGTCCACAGAGCTACGGAACCACAGCCGCTCCCACACCGGAGAGAAACCCTTTGTGTGCACAGAGTGTGGCAAGGCCTTCATGCAGGCCATCTGTCTGAAGATTCACATGACGCAGCACAGTGGAGAGCGACCCTACTCGTGCCGCCAGTGCTCCAAGAGCTACCCCACGCTGTCCAAACTAAAGGTGCACGAGCGCTCCCACACTGGGGAGAAGCCGTACTTCTGTGCTGAATGTGGGAAGAGTTTCGCGGATCCTTCTGTGTTCCGGAAACACAAACGGAACCACCAGGGCCACCGGCCGTACGCCTGCAACGACTGTGGCAAAACCTACACYGAGCTGAAGGACCTAAAGAACCACGAACGCTCGCACACCGGAGAGAAACCATTCCTGTGCTCTGACTGCGGCAAAGCCTTCTCCCGCTCCTCCTCGCTGGCGTGCCACCAGCGCATCCACTCTCAGAGCAAACCCTACCAGTGCGAGCTGTGCGGGAAGGGCTTCACCCAGCTGTCGTCCTACCAGTCCCACCTCCGCACGCACTCGGGCGAGAAGCCCTTCCTGTGTCCGCAGTGTGGCAAGATGTTTTCCGACCCCTCCAGCTTCCGGCGGCACCAGCGAGCGCACCTGGGTTTCAAGCCGTACCCCTGCGACAAGTGCTCGAAGCGGTTCCGGCAGCCGGCYGACCTCGCCGTGCACGAGCGCGTCCACTCCGGGGAGAGGCCCTACAAATGCCAGAGCTGCGACAAGGCCTTCGTGGCGTCCTGGGACCTGCGGCGCCACATGCTCGTCCACACGGGCCTCCGGCCCTTCTCGTGCACCGAGTGCGACAAGTCGTTCGCCGAGCGCTCCAGCCTCAACAAGCACCGGCGCGTGCACTCTGGAGAGAGGCCCTTCAAATGCGAGGAGTGCCTGAAGTCGTTCGTCGTCTCCTCCAGCCTGCGCAAACACGAGAGGACCCACCTGGCCGAGCAGCTGGCRCAGAAGCGGCGGCAGCAGGAAGAGGGTGACGACGACGCGTCCACCTCCGGCTTCRCCGCTCCCACGACTCTCCCTCAGTTCTCCTGCAGCTACTGCGACGCCACATTCGGTACCTGGGAGGAAGCTCAGACCCACGAGACTCTTCACTCCATTGACCCCGCTCCTCCGGCTGTYGCCAAAATCRTGCCCCTGGGCTCGCACGTCTGCGMGACCTGCCACACGGAGTTTGCGCAGCCGGCGGACCTGCAGGAGCACGAGAAGCAGCACCCGAAGCCGAGGCCGCACGTCTGCGACAGCTGCGGCAAGGGTTTCCTCAACAAATCGGGACTGCGCAAACACCAGAAGATCCACTCTGCCAGCAAGCCGCACAACTGCCCCCACTGCGGCAAAGCCTTTCTGTTCGCCGCCTACCTTCGCAAGCACTTACGGACTCACGCAGGAACGGCACAAATGGACGATCTTCGCGTCATTCACCTGGACCCGGTCCCTCCTTCCCCGCCTGCCGGTGAACTTTCCGCCTCCACGATCGAGCCCTGCGCCATATCTCTGACGGTCCCYGTGAGCGTCTCTTTGACTTCTTTCCAGACTCTGCCTGAGTACTTAGCGAAGGATGAGAAACTTTAAACTGTTTTACTGTATCGATCATTTTTATTTCACAAATAACAGCAATCTGGTCTTTTTTATTATTAATTTAGAGATCTGGGCCAGTGTTTATCAAACTTCTTAGAGTGGATTTTAGTCTTAAGAATTTTGATAACACCTTCGTCTGAAAGTAGGAGTAAATTTAAGAAATTCTCAGCACTTGAGACAAAACTAAAGTAAGGTGTGGAAAACAGGTTAAGTCAGGCAATACAAAGAAAAACGGGGAAAATGACACATCAGTGTGTATGATGTTGGACATAAAGGTGGATGTTTCTGTAATACCTTATTTTTAATTTTTTWATAGTCAGATGGTGAGTGAATGTAGACTATGATGTAAAATTATTTCTTAGGATTTTCACAATTTTATCTTGACATTTCTCAGAATGTTCTTGAACGTGAAATCCGATGCAATAACTGCGCCTTACGTGTGGTTTTCTAAAATCACCCAGGATCAGCACAGTAAATCAGCTCCAAGGCTGACACTTAAGATAAGGCTGACACTTAAGATAAGGCTGACACTTAAGATAAGGCTGACACTTAAGATAAGGCTGACACTTAAGATTTGGTCCTACATTTCGCTTAAAGTGAGACTGAAACACTTGATAACTGACTTTTGAGCCAAGAAACTTAACATCACTCTTAAGAGCTTTCCTAACAAGTTTGATAAATACAGGCCCTGATTCTGAGGGTAAAAAATGTATATTTTAAATTCACTATATAAAAAAAGAGTTAGTGCTTTGTCATTGTTTTGTGTTACTATAATATTTGATAAATGTTACTTATATCAGTGTTTTAAATATTTTACTATTAATATTCCATCATGAAATTATCTGTAACCTGTATTACGATTAATGTTGCAAACGCTCACTTTATACAACTTGCAGTAGAAAAAAATTACTCAGCTTGTCTTGCCTTTTTTTTTTAGTGAACATTTTTTTTCCTGGGATCAAATCATTTCACTCTGCATATATTTGTATTAATATCCAAGTAGTTGTGATTTTAAAATAATGGTCAGACATTCCAAAGTGCAATCCCTTTTTATACCAATGACATGTAAAAAAAATGTCTTGAGTTTTCTGTTTGTGCAAAATAAAATTGTGTTTATAATTTTTCCAGCATCTGTGTATAAGTACAAGCTTTTCGATTTTTTTTAAATGGAGAGAAGTGGACAAATAAACTCAGAGATGAGATGTTTTTTTTTTTCATGGCTCACTGAATACTTTTTAATAAAATTCTCAGAAAGTAATCTTTGGATGAACGTCGACATCCTGATTCAAGATGGCTCCCACGGCTAATGTACCTCAGACAACCACAAAACTGACTAATTCAGGCAGATTTGCAGATATTGAGCTAAAGTTTCTGTCAGTAGTAGCAGAGTCATCCTCAACACTTAAAACTCTAACATCTCAGTACTCCGCTTCATGCCGTTTATCAGTTCAACTAAACTGGATGAAACRCGTTCCCTTCTGCTCAAAAGATAATTTAAAACGAATGAAAGGTGATTTATATTCTTTCAAGAAATGACAAGTCTTTGTTTTGTATAGATTAGTTGAGACACTTTATATTGGATAAATTTATATTTGTGTTTTGATCAGTGCAAAAACAACCATACTGTGTACTTTCGCACCATTTTTTGACACAAACAATTTTTATATACATTAAATATTTTCATTTAGACAGAAAACGATGGCCCAAATGCAGCATTCAGCTTCATCACCARTGAATTGAGCTGCTTCTGGGGAGCTGCTGGTAAATGGACTTCCTGTTGCTGTGCTTTATGGTGAAGAGCAGCGCCGCGCCGGCRTCCGTTAGAGACTGGTGGGAGGAGGACAATTAGAGTCAAAGCTCAGGGAAATGGGGCTCCTCTGAAAGCATTTAGGCAATTAAAGACTTGAATTACCTGCGTGTCAGAAATGACAGAACTGTTCTGGAAAATGAAAAAAAAAAGAGAGAGGGTTAGTGATTGAGGTGTGTTGGGTTCAGTAAAAGGCTCTGAGTTTGATAAAAGCAGCTCACCCTTGTGAAGTTCTGGATGTTCTTGTATATCGGCTCTATGGTTGGCAGCCAGTCGCTGGATGTCTGATTGTTCCCCGCACTGCGATTGTACTCTCTGCAAAACAGAACGTCTCTCAAACTCAAGACACAATCAGCATCCAAGCAAACAAAATGTATTCAGGAGCACACCTGACTGCAGGCTGCTTAAATTAGTCTTTGTGTTGAGTGTGTGGCGGCAGCCTTCATTAAATCCCCTTTGTTGGGTTTAAGCATAAAGCAGCTCTGCGACTGGCCGCCCRCTAATGCTGCCGTCAGCCCGAGCTACCTGCTGTTACTCACATCGCCCTCTCGATAAGCTTCTGCTGCAGCTCTCCCTCCTTCTTGGCGGCCATGAGGCGGCCTCTGACGGCCAGAGAGGCGCTGGCCTGCAGCGAGTTGAGCTGGAGGATGGCGAGGGACAGGGAGGCCAGGACCGCCGAGCTGAGGAGGATCAGGAGAGTTCTCAACATTTACAGCTGCAGGACTGCTATTATATTACAGCACACACACACACACACACACGCACGCACGCTATCTGCTCACAGGATGAATGGCGTGACCTTCAGTGTGAGTAACTGTCAGAATAAATGAGAACTCACGTTTGCAAAGAGAAAACAGCCGACTCTCAACAGCGTTCTGGACTAATTTAAACCAATTTGCTTGTGAGTTAAACTGAAGTTGCTACAAAACATTAAAAAAAACAACATGTGTGTAATAATTTGTTTTTCTGAAGGTGAAACCACAATTAGCAAAATGAAGAAAGATTCCAAAATTTCAACATCTGCAACCTAATCTAAGAGGAAAACGCTGACGTTTGGATGCATTGAACGATAGAAAAAGTGCTGYCGGKGGTTCATTASGGTCACCRTGGTAACCACATCTGTGTCTGTCACTCCCTGGCTTCAAARTGAGACAAAAACCGATTGAAAGATAAGCCTCAAACAAGCAGCCGCTGAGTGAAAACAATTGAGCTGAGTCTTAACAACTCCTAAACATTAGTGGCAGAAAACTAAGGTTCGACAATTCAACAGTGTTTTGTGTTGCTTTATGACAAATTAATTCCACTTTTGAAGCGACGTTTAGGAGATTAAACATGCTGTAATCTTGGGAACGCTCTTGAAGGGATTTGTAAAAAAACAAAAACACTGTCAGACCTACAGCAGTGATCCTCAAAGACAAAAATATTTACGTTTTGATGAGTTATCTTTACATATACAGTATTTTTAAAAAGTTGTGTTTGCAAAAAATTTGAAAATTTTTAGACAGGGTGACATTAAATAAGTTAAACATTTCATAAAAAAAAAACCCAAATCAGAAAACCTAAACTGTGATTTTGCAAAAAACCATTAAAGATATAAAAATGTCAGCTTRGTCACATAAAGTCCAACTTTCTGGGATCTATTTTAACTTCAATGTTTCTTCTGTGAAATACTGGATGTCTGTGCTTCAGAGCTCTGATGAGAGCTTTGGTTTTCTCACCTATTTTGTCAAAATCCATTATCTATAGGGAAATTACTCACAATTGCTTGTGAATTGTGTCTACGTTGTACAAGCTGATCGAGGCGTGCATTTTATATATAAATGTGTTTATATTTAAACTATAGGGAGTGAAAACAGATTAAAAATAACCAAAAATAATTCAGTGCTTATGCACTCTTACAGGAAAGCTTAAGACAGAGCAACAGGCATTCAGCAACCTCACACACTTCACAAAGATTCATGTTTATTTTAGATGACAGCAGCATTAATGGTACCTGTCATCATTAATGTCTTGCTCTGCAGTCATCACTCTCAGCAGCATCTGGCCRTTGTTCCTCATGTACCTGATCTGCAGCTGGATGAACACTGGGCTGCCAGAAATCAATGCAGGCGCTGAAAATAAACAGAAAAATAAGGTGYGAACGAGGAACCTGTGATTAGATCTGCTCAGGTAATTTATCAGCTTTACTGCACACCCTTTAGATACTCGGTGATCACAAGTTTGCATTCACTACATCCAAATGCAGAATAAACAAACAAATAAAATACAAATAAACAGAACAATGTTTTTTTACTGTATCAGTAAAGAGCCTTCATTATGCAGATTTACTGCCCACACACACTCTTTAATAACACCTATTGGTAACACAGCAAGACCAGCAAACATGAAGAATGTTGTTRAATGGATAATTCACTCAAACCTCCCAGTTCAGATTTATGAGCTAAAATAAGTTTGAAAAATAAACTTATTCACAAGACACCAWTCGGGGTGAATTTCTTCTGAAATTTGTGCCTCAGGAGGATTTAGTCACCTTAGTCTTCTTTATTAACAGTGAACCTTTAAATTTCCATGAAACTATCGTTTGTTGAATGTTTTACATGAATTATGTTAGCAGCAGTAAGCATGATAAATGTCATTGTGAAAGACTGGAAATTWAGAAATATACAGAACTTTCAGTTATGTAGTAATAAAAAATAAATTGCGTTATCTAGAGGTTAAGCTGTCCGATGTTAAACTGATAAAGCTATAGTCATGTTTTGGATTAACTGCATGGTGCAGCCATAGCTTGACTCCAACGGTAAATCAGATGTAGGAGTGCATCTAATAATTACTTTGTTTCACTAAAATCTGTCCTGTGGTTCATGAGATATTTTGCTAACAGATAAACAGCATTGTAGAATTATTCCATTTTAAATAAAAACATTGATATATTGATCAATTATCTCCCTTTCCCCTTAGGGGATGACAATAATAAACATGGACTTTTTGCCAAGCTGGTTTGAAATGTCCTTAAYTGGAAATAGATTTTTGAAAAATAAATTAGCAGTCATCAGATTAAGTCCAAGAATTTAGGTGCAAAAAACCATTTTAATCCATGAATTAGTCTCTCAGGTTAATGAAATATTTCTCTCTGACAGACGTCTGTTTTTTATCAGGTAGCTTCTCCTTTGTTTTCCAAGTCCCAAGTAGCAGCTAAACATGAACCTCTGCTGCAGCCAAGCAATGTTTAAAGGCTCCATTTGTTATTTTCTCTTTGTAAACWGTTTTTTATGTGGAATAACTTTGGCTGCCTCTCACTTCACAGTGTTGCCACCACTGTTGTCTCATCGCTAGACTTCAAAGTGTTGTTTGTTGGCAGCAAAATAAAAATGACCACATCTTGAAATATTCTAATACCTGGCACCACAAACCTCCTGTTTCCTTTGAATTCAAGCTGAAACACAGCTGAGAGAGGAAAAAAAAAGAGACGGCACCCTGTTGATCATTCAGTTTTATTCCTCACCTTCTGCGTCTCGCTCATTGGCTCCAAACTGCATGGTGATCTCCGTCTCTGGGTCCACGTTCCCCACCTCTCTGGTCCCTYTGTGTCCGGCCTCCTTCTCTCCCCTCATTCGCCTGCAGCAAAGCAGAACATGAGTCAGTGCTGCGGGCTTTGTTACTGCTGCAGCTCCAAGGACCTGAGAATCCTTTCATGTGCCAAGAATCTGGGAAGCATAATGCTGGTGGTGGTGCAGATCTTACAGTGATTTGGGCAGCAGCAACGTTACTGCACAGTGTGTGGCGATGGTCCTGTTCTGAATTATCTCTTCGAACTCCGAGTGCAGCCGGTTGAGKTTGGCTGTCACCACCTGGAGAAAACAGAAATTGGTGAAGCAAAATAAATAAATAAATTTAAAAAATAATTACAATTTGCTTAGGAAACCATCCCCTTTATACTAAAGAGGAGAGGGGCCATCCGATCTGTAACCAGCACTCAGTTTAAAAGCCAGCCTCTCTGATGGTATGGGGTTGCTTTAACCTCTTAAGAAACCCCAACGGGTTTTCTTGATGTTTTTTGCTTGAAATACCATGTTGAAATGTAATAGAGTGTATCTCAGCATTTACAAACTCTACTTAAATAATCTTGGTTTCAAAATAAAGCTAACACTTGGGAGATTTTATCAAAAGTGTAAGAATTACTGCTGTGGTTTTAGAGATATTGAGGATGGAACACACACACACACACACACACACACACACACACACACACA